AGAATCTGATGGATGACACATTAACCCTTCCTCAGTGTCATGCTCTACATGCCACGTCATGTGTTTCGCGGTAGCGCTTGAGGCATATAATCTTTGCAAACGTGGTGCTAAAGGAAGATATATCAACTTCGATGCTGCAGATCTTTTTCGGGCTTTTCGAGTCATACCTGATATGGGCTTGTACCTATCCGCATTACAAAACTTACACCGCATAAGTGTTTCGTCATTCTTCCAAAATAACATACATCCTCCAGGGCATGCGTGGATTTTGATCATAGGGAGACCTAACTCAGAAACAAACTTTTTCATGTTGTAGTAACTATCGGGAAGACAATGATCACGGGGTAACATACTACCAACTGAGTTTAATATTCTGGACATGCAGCTTTCAGAGAGGTTATATTCTGACTTTATGTTAAGAAATTCAGAAACTGCTGATAATTGTGAATGATCATAACAGTCAGAATATAAAGGTTGGTCCGCACTTTTGAGCACTTCTTGAAATCTAGTGCCTAAGTCATCCACATCATAATATGATGAGCTTGGTCCTTCATTCATATTATTGTGTGCGTTGAAATTACTATCCGTGTGGATATTTGGAAACGTAGAAGGACCAGCCAAATCATAAAGCATCTTTTGCTCCCATACCATTTCTTCATAATTTCCCCAATTAGCCATCTCATCGGGAACATACCTCGATGTTCCTACGTTTTGCGGCAAGAGCTCTGGCTCAATTGGTTCTCCTTGAGCAGTCCAGTTGTAATAGTTTTCAACAAAACCATGCGTATATAAATGCCAACAAACCTCATCACCTTCAACAAATTTGTTATTTTTACACTCTGTACAAGGACATCTTATTTTACTTCCATCAGCATAGCGTGTTTGCTCTTGTGCGAATCTAATAAATTCGTTAACTCCATTTTCAAACACTTTTTTCAATCCTCTACCATTTTCCTTGTAGCGGTCATACATCCAACTTCTAGATTGTCTATACATTGTGCCTGAATATTAAAAAATATCTTAATTAACTTTTTTTGACAGTATATCTTAACGAAATTAATTTATTAAATTGATAAGACAATGTCTCACGTTTTAAAGCTAACACTTGAATTCAATCAAAATAATTAAGACAAATTAAATAATACTGATAACAACTCATAATATGGATATGATCAAATTAATTTAAAAGCACAATGGTCGTAATTTACATACCTTAAGTACAACGATGATACCAAGTAATATAAAGTAAGAAATCCATATAGAAAACCTCCAGATATCAAGTAATATAACTTCCAACTTCTATCCAGAATTCATCATACACAAAGATCGAAGACATCATTTTCTGAGATGTAGTTTGCTTCACATCCCAACTTGGTATATTTGTAGATTTAGTAGGCACAGAAATTGGGACGGAAATGCCCCTGCCAAAATGTGTTCAACGGTCCTCATTGTCTCGGATTTTGGCACGAAATAAACTTTATTTGAAATCCGGTCTTTGCGACGGTTTTGGGACGGCCAGATTCCAGTCAAACTAACGGTTACATTTTGGCACTACATTTGGGTCGGATATATGCCACCCAACGTAACGGCTAGAATTAGGCACGGAAATAGGGACAGACAGTGGAACAGTCAAATAAGATACGGGGTTGTCTCGGAGTTTGGCACGGAAAAATTAGGCACGGATATATACCGGGCCAAATTCTAAAAATAAAAAAAAAATCGTTGGGACGGATCGGTTTCCCTGCCATATTGTCGCGGCGGTTGGCACGGATATCAACACAAGCCAACTACGTCACAGGTTTTCGGTCTTGGCACGGATGTAGGGTCGAAATGTCCGAGCCAAACGTGTTGGCACGGATAATGCCGTGCCATTGTAGTAACAAATCGACTTTTTCTGCTTTCCGTCCCTATTTCCGCGCCAAATTTGTCTGGGTTATTTTCCGAGCCAAAATCCGTATCTATAACGAGTTTTTTTGGTAGTGTAAGGCCAATATATATCTGGCTATATTAGAATATTGAGCCCATCAAAGGCCACTCTAATACTAAATGACAGGAATACTTGACTTACTAGTCACAGCCTTAAATTTGAGCAAGGTAATGGGACGAAGTAGTATATATAGGAGAGAAAAGGTTGAAAACAAAATGATAAAACAAAATGGCACTGGTGAGAATCAAACCAATATAATGATGCCTTAGCACGGTAATGCTCTGGGCGACCAACACAATAACGCTTCCAATACGATTATGTTGCTCTCAAATATATATTGTACCATTTGTAAACGTCATTAGTACTAATAATAGCAATTATTATTAATAAAAAAATCGGTTCGATCCGGTCCAAACGGATATTTTGAGTATATTAGTCGATTTTGAACCAATTCTTTTCGGGTCCCAAAGTTTATCTGTTCAATATGGTGTGATTTTTTTTAATGCGGTTCAATTATTTTTTGTTTGATTTTTGGCTTTTCTGTTCAAAAAGCTAGCTCTAGGTGTAGTTAGGGGCATATTATGTCTCTACCCATCCCAAATTCTAAAAATGCCCCAATTTATCAACTTTATCATATAAAAGTATTTTGATTTTCTTTTTTACTGATCCAGTCCACATTACTGCGTTTAGCCTATGTCAAGTATAAGTTGTCACACAATGGGTGTTAGAGCCGTGGATGGTTATCAACTTATCATTATAACTAGTACAGTACCCATGCATACGCACAGGTAAAGAGGCGTTGTGCATATATTTTGTATTCAGAGTTTAATTAAATACAAAAACAAAAATAAATAAATTTAAAAAATTATTTTAAATTTTAACATTTTCCCAAAAAAGTTATTATAGTGAGTATCGGAAAATATAAGTGCAATATTAAATACTAAAAGTAAAAGAATATTAGGAGAAATTAATTGACAATATCAATTGTAATTTGCTACTTACAGAGTATTAATTTGTAGCGTTGGTAACATATAATAAAATCTTAAATTTATTTGTTAGACGTTTTGAAAAAAATCTTCAAAAACAATATGATCTTAATAGTGTATAATAAGTTTTCCTTCTCATCATGGATGAAGATCATGAGTCTATGTTTGTTCTCAACTCTCAATAATGTCACGTATAGTTATCAATGACTAAAAATAGGTCTAGGTATGTATAGATCAACTCTTTCAAGCGATTGGTCTTGATATATGTTGATTATCATATCTAATTATAGGAAATTGTCTTGTGATAAATTTAAAAGGTCATACAGATTACGAAGGGGCATGCATGTTATTAAAGAAGTAGAAATCAAGGATTTCAATTATGTGTTTTGCAATATGTAATCCTTGTTAGAACTCCAAAAGTTGAATAGAAAAAATAATTAAAAGTTTAAAATTCACAAAGTGCACGGTCTTTGCACTCTGTTACAACTCAAACTTTTTTTTTTGGAAAAAGTTTTTTTTGTTGTCAATTATTGATTTGGCTAAACTGTAATGACAATGACTAATTTTGTTCTTATTTGGGCCAAGTTATCTAACAATTTCTCTGTCTATAATTAAGATTGTTCTATATTGAAATTTAGTCAGTTGCTTATTTTATGTGATTAAGAGTTATTAGATTGAGCAAAATTTAATGTTATAATATACCTTTTTATCAAATTATAATAACTGTTGTACTTTAATGCTTTGTATCATCATTAATGCTTTGTGTGAATCAATTAGTTGAACTGAGTAGAAAAGTATGGCCTAGATCCTTGTAATTAGTGGCGCCCATGGGTATTTAATGTGTAAAGAAATCATAGAAGTGATATAAATTGTTGTTATTGAAAAAGAAGTAGAAAACATGATTTTTCAAGTGTTGTGCAATATTTGATTCCCTATATAAAAATAGAGAAGACAATAAAAAGTTTAAAATGTGCATGTAGCGTTGCAAAGTATGAGTAATAATAAGGTATAAATGAATAGGTATCAAGTGCATGATCTTTTTCACTTTAATAAAATACTGGTAAATGCTCCCTGGCATTTACCCCACTAATTTTGGTGGTTTATCTTCTGGGGTTTATTTATATAAAAAAATCTTTGCACTTTAATGTGGTTCAAATAGTCAAATTTTGTTGGAAAAAAGTCAACTGTAGGTTATTGTAGATTTGGCTACATTTTATCTACAACGATTAAATTTATTTTTGTGTGGGAAAATGCTTAAGATATGCATAAAGTGTTGCTAAGTATGGGTAATACAGAGGTATTATTGAATAGGTATAAAGTGGTCTTGAATAAGTATTTACAGTAAAAACTCTTTTTCGAGAAAAGTCAACACATTTCATCGTACGTTTTGCTAAATTTTATCTACAACGATTAAATTTATTTGATGAGGACAAAGTAGATTGACTATTTTTCTAGGTGGTTAGTTAAGAATTATCATATAAAAGTATTTTGATTTTCTTTTTTACTGATCCAGTCCACATGACTATGTTTAGCCTATGTCAAGTATAAGTTGTCACACAATGGGTGTTAGAGCCGTGGATGGTTATCAACTTAGGATGTTTTCTTTTGGACTGAAATTTGCTGGTCTGGTCTGGTCTGGTCTGGTCTGTTTAAGTCTGGTCTGGTCTGGTCTGGTCTGGTCTGGTATGCTCTGAACTGGTCTGGTCTGGTCTGGTAAACGTCTGGTCTCTGTGTATTTTATAACTACGGAAGTCTGGTCTGGTCTGGTCTGTTTAAGTCTGGTCTGGTCTGGTCTGTTTAAGTCTGGTCTGGTCTGGTCTGGTCTGGGACTGAAAACAGTCCAAAAGAAAACATACTTATCATTATAATGAACGCATAAGATCATTATTACATGTGGAGGTGAGAGGTGGTAAACACACTTAAGAAACAAGATCAGTCACATAAATTGCCAATAATAAGTGTGTAATCCGTTTTTAATCAGAGTTGTGAAGTCACCATTCCGTGTGTAGCAAGCAAGTTTCTTCTTATTGGCCCCACCAATAAGCAATAATTACATGCCCTAACACAGTTACGTATATAAACCTCATAAACCTCCCCTAATTTTGATAATCAAACCCCACTAACCCCCTCCAAACACTTACGTACGAATTCACCGAAATCAATACAATATGTGCGCCAATCAAGAAAGGCAGCCATTCATTGGCGGTAACTCGTCGACTGGAACGGCGGTTCACGACGGCGGGTGCGAAGAAGAGGCGGCGGCTTCTCCGTCCGGGTGCGGCTGTTCGACGCTGTTCTGCGGACAGCCGTGGTGCCGGAGACAGGCGGCGGATATGATGAGGGAGCCGCCGCAGCTTTTGGCGAGGAAAAAGTGGAGTGATTTGTTGAGGAAAGTGGGGAGAGCTTTCCCTCCGGCGGTGAGGCGTGATCAGAAGGCCCAGTTCATATACGACGCGCGGAGCTATGCTCTGAATTTCGATGACGGCGTGGCGGCGGCGGAAGAAGATGGGCTTTTGCGTAATTTCTCGTCCAGGTTTGCCGCCCCTGCAGCCGGTCAACAAAGGAAGGCGGGATTGTGATAGGGCCAGATTTGTCACTCCAGATATATACCTCGTCATTATTTTATTTTTAATTTGATTTTTTCTTCGTCATAAGGCGGTATATTGATTATTTCTCCTTTCAAAATGAAAATATTGATTCATTCGTTAGTGACCTGATTTATCTCTTGGGTTAAATAATACTCTCTCCCTCCCAATTTCTTTTGCAAAGTCAACAATTTTTGATCAACCAATAATAAAAGTCAACCCTTCGTATGGATAATAAATTCAGTTTTTAATAATTAAAATTTACATATTCAAAAACTACATTAAAATCTCTTCAAAGTTGTAAACTCCAAATTAGAATATAATTAAAAATTGACATCTTAATTAAGTGAACAAAACGAGACTGTTTGACTAAGAAAAGTCAAATTTGCAACTCTTTTTGGGACGGAGGTAGTATAACCCATATTGGGATATCTAATTTTTGGATGGAACAACTCAACAAAGTTAAGCATCGAGTGAATCTTATGAGTTTATTATGATTAGTAATTCTTATTTTTAGTTTGCAGGTTTTTAACTTTTTTATTTATTAAAGTCATACTAGGTATTTTTTTATTTCACGTACTAGTTGTAGTTAGTGTAAAGGGTCATTTTTACTATCTTTTTATAAAAAAATCTGTAAACACTTAATAAAATATAATTTTTCATAAATAAATAATTTCATCCATTTCAGCTCGTCCAACCAATTAAGTCAATTCGAGGTTTACTAAATAGGTTCTATGTATGGACTATTATTACCACATAATAATATGGTGTAATTATCCATTATGTATTTCCATACTTAATAATGTCGATCCATGAACATTTTTTATGAAAGGATGGTATAATTATTTTCATGTATACTCTTAATTCAATGCTATTGGATTTCATTGTTCATACGTATACTATTTTCACATCTTGAACGTAATTACATCAAGAGTTTTCTAATCAATAATTACATAGTCCTCTCATGAAATAATACGAGTAATAGTGACATGGTCATATATGCATGCAGTGGCTATGTTTGAAGATATAGCGCGCACTGCATTACTTAATTTTGTTGGTTTAATTAATGTTCATGTAGTTAAATAGCATCTGTTGTTCTATTCTTAATTTAGTGTCATTGGTTTATCAAAGTTAAAGTTAAATTGTACAAACTCCCTCTTCAACCATAACGATAAATGGCGGAGTGAATATACGACCACCTTAGAATTGAACATCTCTAATGGGAATTTCGATTGTATCCCATTATAATAATTCCGCTTCGTGATTTTAGAAGAAGAATAAACTAGGAGGACAAACTTAGGGAGTGGTTGCGACTGCTTCTACTTAAAAAAAAATGATTTTTAAAGTGATTTAGGAGAAAATACTTAATTTTAAAAGTTGGTAGTATTTGAGAAAAAAAATGATTCTGAAAAAGTTAAAGTTGACAATGTTTAGTAATATAAGTGTTTTTTGTGTAATATAAAAAATGGAAAACAGTTTAAAGTACCATTCAACCTGCTTCCAGCTTTTAGCTTCCAAAACCTTAATTTAAGCAGAAGCTGTTATTTGAAAACATTTTTTTTTTAGTTTTTTAAGCTAAAAGGTGAAAAACGCGTTTTTACGTTTTTAGCAAACACTCCCTTAATCAACTTCCTCCATCTTGCTTCACTCCGCATCAGCATCATTATATTCCCATGAAGGCATCTCAGCATCACCAACCACAACATCGTCGTTGTCAATGCTCTGCCCAAGCTTCAACATCTTGTAAATCATATTCCCAAATGCGTTCGATTCATCCATAGTATTTGCTATGCCCTGAACCCAATGGTAGATCTTGCAATCAAATAAATGGTGTTTAAAATAATTTTATCTATTGCAAAATAATATTTTTCGGTCCACCAATTGAGAAATGTAACTTTAATTTTCCAAGATTAAAATTCCAAAAATAAGGTTAAGTGCAAGAAATATTACATGAAAATCAATAAAAATTGTTACATCAATTCTATATACGGAGTATGCATTTTTACATTTTGTTTTCTAATTTTTGCTTGAACACCCTTAAACAAAAAAGGTGCGCCCCTGCATGGACCGCTAGCTGCACGTGTATATATACTGATTACTGATGATTTATTTTGGTTTCTTACGAGAAAAGTAACCATTAAATTCCTAAATCAAACCCCAAGTAGTATAATCAATTCAAAACTAAGAAATAGCAAAACATCAGTCCGGTAGGAATCAATTCAAGTAATATCTTCAATTTCATAAGGTATATGATCCTCTTCTTTCATGAATCTTCACTAGTGGAAAAAGTGTAAATAGAGGCGCTTCATTTGAGGCGTTTTTATCACAAAGCGCCTCAGAATGTTTAAAAAGTCGATTTCTTTCCGCGTGCGGCGCTTCTAGTTATTTAAGCGCCTCATATAGCTTATTCGAATTTATTTTTATTAAAAATACATTCTCTATGCGGCGCTTTTGAGGAAACAAGCACCTCTACATTTAAATAAAATAAAACAAAACAAAACGTGCGGCGATTTTCGTTAGGAAGAAACGCCTCTACGTCTTTAATAGGGTTCCGAACATATGGGCTTTAAACCTAATGAGGGTGTTTGGTTGGCGGCTTTTCAGCTATTTTTTGGCTGTTTTGATCATATTTGACCTTTTGACCAGATCAATCAGCTAATAAAAATGTTTGGATAAATAGCTTTTCAAATTAGCCTTTTATCCAAACAGCAAAAAAGTAAAACGCCATCATATATCCCTAGCGTTTACAATTGGCCGTTGCGTAACTTTCCTACACTACCCTGTATTTTCGTATCTCTCCTATTCTTGCAGAAAAGAATTCCACCGAAGACCAAAAATATAATTCCCCTAAATTAAATGTTCTTACGTTTGAGAGCTAAAAAACAACGCACGCATCAAGCCGCCATCTGCCCTCTAGTTAGCTATTTGATCCCACTCCTTCAAAAAATGAAGGATATCATAAAAATGTGATACCGACTGAGGTTGCCTCTTGCCTGGTCTCATCTGTCGTGTTCATCTCTATATTGTGTTAATCTCATAAAAGAGTATGAGAAATGGGGTATCACTTCATTTATGAGTATAAAATACGGAGTAGACGTTTAAAATATGGAGTGATTATTAGTTGTGTTAAAACATTCTGACGTTTTTAATCATAAAAGGGATTTATGTAGTAATACGAATTACATTAGCAGAAAATTAGTTGATGTCCTAAAATGTCATTTAATAAGGGGAAAACTACTCCGTATCAAATAAGCCCCGTACTATGCCAAAAAAGTCGATTAGGCCCTCGTACTTTACAAACACTCAATTAAGTCCTCAAACTATTAAAAAACGTTCAATTAAGCTCTTTCGGTCGGTAAGTAACTGGTTTCCTGGTTAAACGGCGACGACAACGATGATGTGCTCGAACCCCAGCAACGGCGGCTGCCGGGAAACATGTTACATTTAACCGGGAAACCGATTACTTACCGACCAAAAGGGCTTAATTGAACGTTTTTAATAGTTCGAGGACTTAATTGAGTGTTTGTAAAGTACGAGGGCCTAATCGACTTTTTCGTTATAGTACGGGGCTTATTTGATAGTTTTTCCCTTTTTCCCTTTAACAAGTTATCAGCTAAATATAAATAGCTATTTACCCAAACATCATTTTATAAACTGCTAATTCTATCCGCTAATTGAAAGAGCCAACAGAATCTGTTGTCATCAATCGGCTAAAACAATCCGCTAAACGCCAACAGCTAAATGCCGACTGCCCAACACCCCCAATAGATCGCTTTGGGCGGCTGGGCAGAGGTACCATAGAGCAGAGTGGCAGTCTAGACACCACCACAAAGACGAACGAAGCTGAGCGACCACCGCAGCAATATCGGAACTAAGCCGCCGTTAGCTAGCTGCTTTGCCTCCACCTCGTCACCGCCGGTTTGCCCCGAATTGCAGTTAACGCCATCTCAGCGCCAGACACCGACTTCGCTTCTATACCGTCATCGAAGATGTCCGACCGGCTGGTGTGCTGTCTCCGCCATCCATAGCGCTGGCTCCGCTGCTTCATCCTTACTTTCTCTGTATTGTGGGTCAGAAAACTAAATTTTATTGCTTTGTTAGTTTATAATTTTCACTGTATAATGTTCGCTGACTATAATTCGTGTTTATATATTGATTTTATCGCATTGAGGTTGCAAATGATATAATTAAGAAGATCATGGTTTTCATTCAGTTTCACAGTACATTTGATCATGCGGCATGATGATTCTACTAGGAAGTTCTTTCTTCTTTATTTTCTCTTGTACTATCGTATACTATCCTCCGTTCTCTTTTAATCGCAACATTGGACTTTTTATACTCCCTCCGTCCCAGAATTAACTTCGGTTTTGACTGGGCACGGAGATTAAGAAAGTGGGAAATGTGTGGTGGAGAGTTGTGCAGAGGAGAGAGAAATGTGTAAGAATGGTTGTGAACCACAAATCCTTTGCTAAAAAGGGAAAGAGGAGATAAATTTGGGACGTACCAAAAGGGAAAGAATGAAGATAATTATGGGACGGAGGGAGTACTATTCACATATTCTACTTTGACTATATTTTATTCATTAATGTATTATAAATAATTTTTTTAAAAAATATTATTAAGTTCTTCTCATTCTAAATTTTCAAAATATGAATTTTTTGAATTTTTTACTAATAAGGAATGAAATATATTAATGGTCAAACTTGTGCGTTGGCAAACGTGAAATGTTGACTGTTGCAATTAAAAGGGAACGGAGGAAGTATAAGATTTCATATGGTGTATATATGATGTATCAAGTTTGATGCGTAACCTTTAAAACTTTCATGTACTATTTTCATGTATGTTACTAACTTGTTCTTAGTTTCTCCCATATCTTGACAATTAATGTAAATAAAGTTTCGGATTGCTCTATTATGAGTTAACTTTTACTGGTTTTTTGTGTTGTTATACAAATTGTAGGTATCAATGGTTTACAAAGGTTAAAAGGATTTAACAACGTAAGCATTTAAAAGCATTTTCTGTATATGCATTTTAAATTATAGCACATGTATATATTAATATAATAACATTATTACATATATAAATACGGAGTATATGTTTTTATTGGTATTTGGATTTGTAGATTGTATATATAGAGTTGCTTCTTCACAAAC